TTTATATTTACATAGAGGGGACCCTCTCTACGGAGGCCGCCATGTTTTTTACATTCGTCCAGACTGGACAAACTAAACACCTTTTGAGTTTTTATGAAAACTGAAGGCTACCACAGTTTCTTTTTCATGTTTGGAAGGGGAGGGTCAGGTGAGGGGTGTTCAGCTGCAACATGCAATGTTAACACTAGATATCACAAAATTCTACACACTGTACCTTTATGTATGAAAACAAAACTCCCTTGTGAAGTACATTTTAAGCAGCATATTTACAGACCTAACAACCCTTCCCTTGTTGTATGTTGCATATCCTTAGACAAACTGCTGAGTCAAGCATTTCTCTTACACCATCAACCTTGAAGGGCATTATAAGGGCATCACACTGACTGAGCATTGATAAATAAGCATTTAGAATGTTGTTACCAAAAAGCATTCAGAGAACCAGCGTAGCTTCTTGGCCCTGATGTCTAAGTTCAGTTTGTCCAGCTCTTGTTTGATGTCTCTAGATACTTTTCCACAGAGCAGAGGAGGTGAACCAGGAATCATGGCTGTGTCTGCAGAAACACACAGCCACCATGGTTTAATGAGAGCTGAGAACATAAAACCTTGACACAGAACAAATCAAGTCTGTTCTTACCTGTGTTTCCTATTATCTTTTCCCAAGGCTGGTCAGTAAGAATGTTCAGCAGCAATGGAGAGATGAGGGGTGTGAGAGACCACAGCCTTACTGTACTGTCTCTGCTACAGCTGGCCATGGTAAAAGGACGATTCTGGTGACATGTCAAACCTACACACACAATTAGATTTAATGATATGGAAAATAGGGTTATAGGTTCTTTAAATGGTAATTGTTATATAGCTCTTTCTAGACTTGACCACTCCAAGTGCTGTACAATACAGTACTTTACAGCTTGCCATTCACCCATTCACACACACATTCATACAGTGCATCTATGGGCAGCACTTTTTCCTATGATGGACCATTCAGGGGTTAGCATCTTGCCCAAGAACACTTTGGCATGCAGATAGGAAGACTGGGATTGAACCACTAACCTTCTGGTCAGAGGACAACTGCTCTACTGCTCAGCTACAGTCGCATTAATAACTCATTCAAAATTTCAATGGGGATTTCACAGAGGGAAATCTTTTCATTTAATGGAGCCATGTGTTCATGTACAACAGCACAAAAAAAAGCGGTTTATAGTTCAAAATTGTATAGTGTACATATGAGATACAATTCATTCCCACGTTTTGAATGAAATTAAACGAATAACATCTTCTAAGCACACCATTGAATTTTGAGTGTTAAATAAATAGTAAATGGTCTGTATTTATGCTTTTCTAGTCCTGATGGCCACTCAAAGCTCTTTACAGAACAATGTTTAACTTTCACCCATTGACACATTTATACAGTGCTTCTATATGTAGTACTCTCTCTATTACACATCACTTACACTGTCAGCACAGCCATCAGGGGCAATTTGGGGTTCAATGTCTTGACCAAGGACACTTCAGCATGCAGAATGGGGAAGACTGTGATCCACAGCCGTATAATAGTACAATGTGGCCGTGATATCATATCTTTTCAAAAGTATATAACAAAATGTGTAATATCTGTCTTTGTCAGAAGTACTTTATATGACACAATGCCTTTCTAAAAAACTAAAACTGCTTATCTATTTAATGTTATTTCGGTTTATAAAACCTTTACATCATTTAAATATACTTTATTTTATGAAACTGACATTTTTATTTAATTTTCAATGAAGAATGTCATTCATCACACATAGATTGGTTTGTTTGGAATTATTAGGTTGTTCATTCTACAATACCGTCTTACCATAGACATCAGCTCCGTGGTCATAGGCTGTATCTAGACATGTGCCATCTCTTGTGTCCCACACTCTGATTGTATAATCCCAAGAACCTAGAAAATAAGACAGCATTTTACTACTCAAATACAAATGCTGAAATAGTACCATCACTTAGTTGTATAAGTTGTAGATTCCAACTGCAGACACTAGATGTTCCTCAATAGCTATATTTAACTGTCAGCATTGACTATGCCTCCAGCAGACAATTCGTCAACTACCCTTTTTTACATTACATTTTATAGTGGTTAGAGTAAAGGTGAATTATACAATACCAGCTCTATCCAGGTATGTGGTCTCTTCAGTGCAATTCCATGTATCAAAAGTGAACCTCAAACCTACAATCCGCATTTTCTTTTTTAAAACAGATCATGTTTACTCTCCTGTGGAGTCTATTAAGGCATTGAAAAAATGCAAGCAGGAATGTGTGTGGATCAGCAGTGCAGACACTGATAACATATTTATACTAAAACAGATGGAATTAATGAAAATAATTGTAATTAATCACTACTTTTACTGGCATCTACCCACTTATTCTACAAATGACTGTCTGCCTGCCTTCCTGTCTGTCAAGCTACCACAGTGTGTGGCACCAATTCCACGATGATGCAGCCAGAATGTTCAAATCAACAGCCAAAGGAGATGCAGACAGGTGGCTGCAGACATTGCCCCCATCATTAGTTTTGCAGTAAAGAGGTTCAGTATTGCAAAATGCAAGACCACTAAACCAAACTTCACCATGAAACAAAGGGTGGACAAGATCCTCCAACTGCGAAAAGGCAGTTCAAGGCAGCATCTGAGGACGAGAAATAACCACTTGCGGAGCTTCACAACATCATTGGGAAGAAGTTCTTTACCCTGCGCTGAGCAGAATGTCACAGGAGAAGGAAAAGAGAAAGAGCCCTCTTGGACATACCATGTCCTTTGACTTTAACACCAGGGAGCCAAGCATCAAGGAGCTGGAAACTTGGCTTTGTCGGAACTGGCAGGTTCAAGGCTTGAATTGAAACAAGCAAGGCATTTTACCTTGAGTTCTCTGGCCTCTGCTGGTGTACATAGTAACCCTTTCCACTGTGGAGACCGTGGAGAGTAATATCAGCAGCAGCTACCTCCGACATTGGGTCTGCTGCAAAGAATAAGCAGTACAGCACTGTATGTGAGGAACAAACTCCAGCTCCCCATCAGCAGCCTAGATGAGAAGTTCTGTTACACAAGAGAGGCAACACTCTATCGCGCCTCCAAGGACTCTAGGGTGGCATCAGCAGGCATTGTTGTGTGGACAGGCATGAAGTATAGAGCCAAGGAAGGCCTTGAGATAGCAGAGTCATGGCTGAGACACAAGGATTTGGTGGGCACAGTGGCAACCAGACCAGGTTGGAAGCAATCCCTCAATTTTGCTAGCATAAGGCCCATGCCTCCCATGGACAGACACCATCTAGTTCTGGACAAGGTGTGGGAAGATATCGCAGAAGAACGGACCAGCAGGATGGTGAACATGTGGCAGATGAGAACATGGACAAGGTGGGAGGGTGCTCTGGAGAAAAGGAGCTCCTGGAATGATATCTGGCAGGTAGAGCCCCAGCAATCAAGTCCATGGTCAAAGTACTGACTGATGTCCTACCAATCCCAGAATATCTCCATATTTGGGGATAGAGGGTTTCAGTAGCATGTCCACTGCTCCCTTGACGAGGTTCCCTTAAGCACATTTAGCAGTTTAGCAGCTGCCCAACAGCCCTGGGGTTAGGCCGCTACCACTGGCAACACAACATGGTACCCATGACCTTCACTGAGGCCATCTCCTAAATCGTGGTTAACAGGAGCTGGTGAGAAACCTCAGCTGCAACCCAGATCAGCAGCCGGTCTGCTTACCTTAGCATCAGACTGGGAGCTGTTAGTAGACTTGAAGAGGAAGCTCAAATTCTCGGACCATGTTATGGCAACAAGCAGAAGTGGTCCAAGTACCAGGAACTGGCAGAGCAGTGCCAAAAGAACAGTTGAGCAATCCCCCACCAGATTATTTTGATAATCGGATTATCTTTATTTCACAACATTCCGCAGGTGCTGAACTTCATAATGATAACAACATTCATACAACAAATTCAAGAGCTTTGATTTTTAAGGTTGTGAACTGAAGATTGTGTCACTTGCTTAACAGACCTCTGAAATTGTTGACATGCAACATATGAGAAAATAACAGCTATTACGTAAATCATTGAAACATATATAATTCGTAATATCTATAAATTTAAACTAATATTAAACATGTATTATACACCCATACAGTGATTGAGCAAATTCTGTTTCAATTTGTAAAAAACATTGACTATAAAATCTTAATTGCAGATAAAACAGGTAGAATGAATGGAAAGTTTTCTAACTTCTCTCTGCAGCATAGACTGCATAACAAAAGCTCTTCATACATTGCCCAGCACACAAAAAATAAAGAATTTATTTTGGAACTGTTTGAGGAGGACTCACTAACAGGGTGTAATTCTTAAGTAGGTTCAGACTAAGCAAATAGCCCATTCCAAACAGGCATGTTTAGAACTGCATTACCTGAAATGAGGAGGTAAGGAACCTCTGTGTTCCACATTAAGCCTCTGACTGGAGCTGTGTGACCACTCAGCACATTGATGCATGCATCCTGTGTGTAGTCCCATATACGAACAGTTCTGCACAGAAGGACAGAGATTACTCTTTGAATTACACTAAACTAAATACCCAATCCTTATTTTCTTCACCTTACAAAATGCATGTATATTCAGATGTGATGTGAGTTCAGAGTTAAGTTACAAATGATAAATCAACACATCATAATGACTAATTAAAGCATCTAAAATTATTACATAACATAGACTTGGTTGTTGTTTAGAACAGTTGTTTTAAAATACCTGACAATTCAGTGAGAGCAATAGCTCAAATGCTGCTGTGTTTTAAATTTCAGTGGTGGGATGACACTTTTGAAGCAGGGAATGGTCATTAAATTGTTGTACACACAATAAAAATCCTTGAAAAAGTCTTGGAATTTGAAAGACAAATATATTATTAAAAACATAGTGCTCAATGTTCTAATTTGACTCCTCGTTCTTAATTTTGTGCCTGATCATTTCTTGCTGCATTGAAACAAATTCCTCCTGTTGACCTCAGTCTGAGATACACCTTGGTCCCTATAGAAATACTCACCCATCATCTGATCCAGAGCACAGTATCCCCTCTCTGAGTGGAGACCAGCGGACGTGGAATACTTTAGCTAAGTGACCAGTGAAGACCTTCAGAGGCTGATCAGAGCTTGTTGCCAAGTAGTACACTCTGACATTTTTATCCTCGCAGCCTGTCGCAATCATGTCCCTGCAGAGAGAAAGAGGAGGAGGATATTTTACAAACTGGGGCCACTTGTAAGCAGAGGACACATCATTGTTACATCTGCCCTTGGAACTTCTGCCTCAGGGCCTCTGTAAACTACGTTTCCTTGGAGTGAGTCTCTCTCTCTCTCTCTCTCTTTTTCTATTTCTGTTTGAGCGAGTGATTTTCTGCCAGTGAGCAAGAGTCAGGGCAGAACACCAGCTACGCTTCATCACCTAATCAGCCCTCTCAATATACTCTGCCCTGCCATTTTCACACTGCCAGATGATAGATTCAACTACTACTGATTATGTGTGTGTCTATAGGGTCAACTAGTTAGCTGCCCCTAACACTACAATCAGCATGGACCCAGCAGGCACAGCGTCACTTTCCCCCTCCATCGAGCTCTCGCTGGAAGGCATTCTGCTTCAAAAACATGATCAGGTTTTAAAGACTTTGATTTGTTGTTGTTTCTTATATTATTATTATTATTTAACTTTCATCACAAAAACCAAAACAAAACATCAACACCCTTACTAAACAGACAATAAAGACCAAACATACAAAAGCATAATAGACAACAACCACAAATGACCACACATTTTTTTTATATTCAGTGATAATAAATCAAATGGCGAGGAATAGCCAGAATGGATATCATGCAAAATTTGGGGTGTTATTCAGGGAAGTTAAGGTGCTCTCATATTTTTCAGAAAAACCTTCTAGCTCCAAAGCCGAACAAAACGTTTATCCCTGATACTAGTTCCCTTAACTATCTGGAAAAACAAGGAGCACTGGTAGCTTTCCATTCACTGAGTATTATTCTTTTTGCTACCAACATACCAAACATATTCAGCTTTTTTATATGTACATAGCTTTTGTTTTTTTGTCTTTGTTCTTGTTTATGTCTATGTTTGTTTGTTTTTTTAACTGTTGTTCTAAGAGAGCTAAGAAAAACCGAAGTCAAATTCCTCATGTGTGTTCACATACCTGGCAATAAGAGTGATTCTGATTCTGATAAGGGTCCGCTGTGCAGTAGGTGGCAGAGAAGTCAAACAGCCAAACCAGTGCTCAGCTCTATATATGCTGTAAAATTATTACAAGTACAAGTCTGCGACAGTAGTCAGTCCTTTAGCTTTCCAGTAAGGCTGATCTAAAGGCCTGATCAGACTGAGATGGAATAAAATTATGATTAAAACAAATGAGAGAATATAACGAAAATTTGAGGTACCCTTTTATAATTTACAGGGAATTTTTCAGAACAAAATTATCATCAACTAGATTCAATGGATAATCCTTTGTGGATAACAGGAAATCTGCGTACAATTCCAATTACAACCACTTGGGTGTATCAGGGAGCTCATTTGACTGGGGAAGCTGATCTTGTCAATAAATTAGAGCTCTGGCATTAACTGCATATATCTCCTTTCAATCGAAATAGCCAGCCACCTAACATTTCAGCAGACCTAGATTTCAGATGCGAGAACACCTTCCCTCTCTTAACTTGACCTATATCCTTTATATTCCAAGTAACAAAAGTTAATGGCGGCTGTGGCTGAGGGGTAGAGCAGTCTATAATACACACCCACCTTATTAGGAGGTCTATTTCAGCAGAGCAAAATTCCCATCACTCTCTTTGCTTGCCCTGCTGCTGCATCAGTATTGCTGCCAGTTGCTTCAGCCCTCCCACCACCCCAGCATCCACCTGTAGGCTCCGACAGGGGGGTGACAAGCATTCGCTCATCACTCCCATCATAACTGTGTAATCTTATCGAGGGAAGTGATTCAGTCGGAGCCTAGACGCTAAACACTAGCCTGTTCTACTGTTGCAATAAACTTTAAAATTGAATCGTGAGTTGTCTGACTACAATATAACACAAATAATCACTCATCAAATTTCAATGATGTTTGAAACAATCCCCAGTGTGGCCGATATACCATAACCCAATCCCACTTGTTGGCCATGCCCCCATCTTCTCAAGGAAACAACAAAGCAGTGATATGGATTCATCAGGTAACGTGTCTGACACAACCTTTGTTTGCTTTTAGAGAAACAGAGATAGACGGCGAGAGAGAGATAGAGAGCATGTGTGTGACACAGGAGGCCATCATAATTAGCCGACATACAGTATGTTCAGTACATATTGTATAACTAACATTATCATTGCTTATGTTTGCAATGATATTGAAGGGGACAACTCTCAGGTTACGGACCAGCCTGTCCCCCAGTAAATCTGCCCCTGCGTTTGGACTTACTAATGCTTACACTGTCTTCCTTTATTTTCATAAACAATATACTGATTTAGATCATATTGTTTATGATTTCTTTTTCAAGATTTCTCTTTGTCCCTGTCTTTTTTTTCCTCTCCCTTGAATGTTTTTATTTTCATATCTTTCTCTTAAAAACGCTCACGATTTTTTAATCATCATCGTACATCATGTGAAATACCAGGAGCGAGTGAAAATGTGTGTCTGTTTCTGTTTCCTCCTCCACTGCTCCTGCTCTCACTTTAACTAATGAACACTCATCACTAGTTATCAGAACCTGATCAGTACATGAAGTAACTCAGTGTCTGATTGATTCCAGAGTTTATGAGACTGCATTTAAACATCATGAAAAAGAAGTCATCCACATAATGTGTGCACTCAGTACAACATGTGAGGTGACACACACAGGACTCAGCGTTTAAGTGACTGGAGCAACACAGATTCATGATCCAACACCATTGATTAATAACTAAACACAGGATCATCATCTAAATAATCCCAATAAAAAATGGAACAAATGAACGTGAACTAGTTCATTTTCATCTGTATGAACTGAACTAGTTCTTTTTAATTGTGAACTGGCGCAACACTTCTCATCAGTCCCTGTTTACACCCTGAATAATTTCTGTAGAAGCGCTCATGGAATAGTCCATGGTAGAGGGGTTGCAAAGACACTAGTGAATTATAGGCATTCTGATGCCGTTTTAGCGTATGGATTTTTAGCAAAAAAGTTAAAAAAAAATCTTAGCCATAAGTTTATTAGGTTCTTCATGGGGCCCCTGGTAGTTCGGGGCCCAAGGCAATTGCCGACCTTTACCTAATGGTTATGTCCGCCTCTGAACCCTTACCACTCACCTTCATTTCCTCCCTGTACCTCTGGGCCTGTGCCACTGAATCTGCTTTATTGGAACTCAAATCAGATTAATATGTCTTTGCTAACCGGCTACGTACCACAGGCTTTTAAGGTAGCCGTTATTAAACCTCTG